GTGACGACAGAGAAAGGGAAAGCGAAATATCGTTCATTGATTACTTTTTTCTAGGACAATGTAACAGGTTCTTATTTTAAAGATCAGGTCTAAGGACAAAACTCTTGCTTTACTGTTGAATTTCATAATTTTGCGAAGGGAGACAAATCCGTCGGTCTTAGCTGATACTTATCAAGAGAGATTACTCTATTTGTTTTAACTGTACATTGGTCAGTATTCTAAGAATTCAAATGATTGGTTCACGGATCATTGATTTTAAGCTATTTTATGTCATGTAATTTTTTGGTGGGGAAAAGGGCATTGTGTCTTTGTTGTTGTAAAGAAGAGTTGGTAGAAAATTAGTGTTTTGTGGTCAAGTTCTTTATTTGTATTTATCCTGAGTGCTGCTAAATGCTTTATTGTAAATATGAAGAATTACATTATTGTGTTTTAGTTCTATTTTGGTTCAGTCCATTGATTGTGAAATTTGTAAATAAGTATGAGTTTCGGAATTACATGTATCTATCAAGTCACCTTTCATCTTTTACTCACTATTAATATTTAACCTTGCAGTTAACAGTTACTTGAAGGTATTACGTATTAGATTGATGTACTGCACTCATCCCTCAGAGGGTAAGTTACAGGTGATGTATTGTGTATTGTTTAAAGTATAATATATGTTAAGTGTGTATAATTCCATAAGCTATTAATATGATATTTAAGGACTGTTGCTGAGTTTAAAGAAATGAATGGGAGAGTTTCTAGATAATCCAGCAGAGTTACCTGACAAATAAGAGGTATACACCTGTATACTGGCTATCTCTATGTAAAGCTGATTTACATTGAATTACATTGGGAGAATGCAGTATATGTAATCAACTGACCTGATCTAATTAATAAGCTAAGGTTTATATTGCTAAGTAAAATGATTAATCTGCAGTCTTCGAAATGTGTTCCACTTTGTAATACGTTTGGAAGGTTTCATTTTCTGAAAGACAAAGAATTAAAGATTAAATAAAGAGTAGCAGTAAAGAAGTATGTGCATGGTTATAAAATGAAGTTATGGTCACCGTCAGAGCATGGTGTAGTTTGTCAAGTGAAGACTTCACAACAACCAAGAATAGTGAGTAAGATCCCAAAATGATGCCAATAAATACCAAAATATTTATGCATTTATATATTGAGCAGGGGGTCTTTAATCCAAAATTAATTTGTTGGTCTATTTGCTGACAGATCTCTGCCTTTAGAAGTATCCCAGAGTACTGTTTCTTTGGCTTGTGGAATGTCTGAAGTATTTCAGTACATTTCCTCTGCACATTGGGGCTATTGCCAGAAACAAATTCGGACAGCATAATCAGCATGGCATCGAGGTGTTTGCATGTAACATGCGCAACTTTTCCAGCAGGGTATTTACATTGACTATTTAAAACTTCCCCATTTTCTTTGCGAAGTTTGAGCTTGTAGCTGTATGTTACATTACGCCTCATTGCTGCTGAAACTATAGTCTTGTCCTTTTACACATATGCTACAGACTCTAATTCCTTAACTATTGTACAGCCCTTTTGTTAAGCCTTGATATTTAAAGTGATGTTCTTGTCTGTGTTGAAATAGCGATCGATTTTTGGCCTTGACAGTTGTGGCAGAAAAATTCTGTGTTCTAACTACAATTGGTGGAAGCCCGACTCTGGCCAGTCAGTGTCCAATGGCTAGGGTAGCAGAATGGGTTCTCCCTTAAAGTCTAAATTTTTGTCATACGCCTCAATCTGTAAAAATTATATAACAATCTGCATTTTTATTTAGTAAAGAACAAATTTGAAGCAATACACTTTATATCATTATATTTATTTGAAGCATCATAAATTTACAAATATACAAAAATAGATTATATCAAACGTATTGTATAATTCACTTACAGTTCTACTTAAATATAATATTCTTACAGTTCTACTTAAATATAGTATTTGTAAAGGCATTTTATTTTAAAAGTTTTAACAGGAAAAGTGTTGATTATTTCTCATACTGTTATTCAGTCTACATGATCTACATTCTACAGCTTAAAAATTAAGGAGTTTATATTATGCTTTAGATTTAAAAATATATATTCAATATGTTGAATATAATTACCATAACATTAAATCTTCTTTTCTTCCTGCTGTTGAAGCCCCTCTGGTAATTATTTTTTTCTTTAATTTAACAACTGACCAGCAAAAATACTCTCTTAGAATCAATGTTTATTAAACCAAGTGGCTGTAGTTTGTATACCTCTTATTTACTACTTCCGCTTATCAGTAGAGTGTGGAAAACTCCCCCATTGGCCACTAGACATGTAATGAACCTTTCCGGTGTTTACAGTTTATGTAAATTGGCTAACTTGTTATCCAATCGCTACACTGAGAGAATACATAGTCACTGGTTGACCTGGTTTGCACAAATATGTTTGTGATACGGTTTGTGAGCAGTTGGCCTAGCAATGAATGGAAAAGGTGTGGCTAAATGTTACGCTACGAAAAACCGGAAAGTTCCGATTATGTCCTAGATTAGTACATAAGATATATGATAATAATTAATGTAATGCATTGTTTCTACTTTATTTTACTTTATTAACCAGGTTTTCAACGAAAACCGGGTTATTGTAATGCCGAAGTCGGCGGGCGGGCGGGCAGGCGGGCAGGCGTTGTAATGCCGAAGTCGGCGGGCGGGCGGGCAGGCGGGCAGGCGGGCGGGCGTCAACTTTTGGTTTCCGCTCAATAACTTTAGTTTGCTTTGGCCTATTGACACCAAACTTGGTGTGTATGTAGCTTATATCAAGAGGCAGCTTGGGATTGCTACCCAGGTGTCTGTGATCAAGGTCAAGGTCACTGTTACTAAAAATAGAAATTCAGTTTCCGCTTAATAACTTGAGTTTGCTTTGGCCTATTCACACCAAACTTGGTGTATGGATAGCTTATATCAAGAGGCAGCTTGGGATTGCTACCCAGGTGTCTGTGATCAAGGTCAAGGTCACTGTTACTAAAAATAGAAATTCAGTTTCCGCTCAATAACTTGAGTTTGCTTTGGCCTATTGACACCAAACTTGGTGTATGGATAGGTAATATGAAGAGACAGCTTGGGATTGCTACCCAGGTGTCTGTGATCAAGGTCAAGGTCACTGTTACTAAAAATAGAAATTCAGTTTCTGCTCAATAACTTGAGTTTGCTTTGGCCTATTGACACCAAACTTGGTGTATGGATAGCTTTATATCAAGAGGCAGCTTGGGATTGCTACCGAGGTGTCTGTGATCTAGGTCAAGGTCACTGTTACTAAAAATATAAATTCAGTTTCCACTCAATAACTTGAGTTTGCTTTGGCCTATTGACACCAAACTTGGTGTGTAGGTAGCTTATATCAAGAAGCAGCTTGGTATTGCTACCGAGGTGTCTGTGATCAAGGTCAAGGTCACTGTTACGTAAAATAGAAATTCAGTTTCCGCTCAATAACTTGAGTTTGCTTTATGTATTGACTCCAAACTTGGTGTATGGATAGCTTATATTAAGGCAGCTTGGGATTGCTACCCAGGTGTCTGTGATCTAGGTCAAGGTCAATGTTACTAAAAATACAAATTCAGTTTCTGCTCAATAACTTGAGTTTGCTTTGGCCTATTGACGCCAAACTTGATGAATGGGTAGCTTATATCAAGAGGCAGCTTGGGATTGCTACCTAGGTGTCTGTGATCAAGGTTAATGCATTTAGTTTTCATGTTATAACTTGAGTTTGCTTTGACCTTTTGTCACCAAACTTGCTGAGTGGCAGCTTTGGATTGCCACTTAGATATCTGGGAGCAAGGTCAAGGTAATTTGCTTACAATAGAATATTCAATATCTACTCAATAACTTCAGTGCACTTTGACCTATTGATTTCTGTTACATCAAAACTTGGTCGTTGAAAACCTGGTTTTCGTCGCATTGCGGCGCTTCTTGTATTTACATATTGTTATATACTTATTTCAGGGTGTTGTTTGAACCTATAGAATCTACTTTTTGTAACAACCTTAATTGAAGATTGGATGATAGAACTTTCCAGCTGTTGTTCAAATGATTTAACAATCCCGAACTTACTTGACCCTCAGGGGCTCAGATAGTTATATTTACATTGCGCCGAACCACCCCTATAACAATATATTCTAATATCAACAGGGAACGTGTTTTTATGTTTGACTAAGATACAAAAGAGAAAGAACAGCAAAACACTCGGCAATCTGAATAATACTCGGTTGGGGGAGAGGGGCGCTACGCACCCTCGTACAAATCAGATAGCTTCGTGTTTCGATGCTCTTTCTATAACATATTCACCTTTTGAAACGATTCAATACAATGTCTACATTGAAGTTCGTTACGAAATCAATTAAAATAAAAAAAAGTATTATTCGGCACATGTTTACAAGGTGGTCATTTGTTGTCAATTGTTAATTTCTCTTAATAGTTAGAGACCGAATACATAAAGAACAAAAACTATAAAGAGAAACCTGCAACTGTGTTCGTATACTTTGGAAATTAAACGCAGCTTAATTAAGCAAACTAATACCGCACGTGTTTGTGATCATTTTTACTGAAACTATTTTTCAGTGACCGGGGCTTGCTTGCTATTATTCATTTACCACTTTATAACCTATATTTTAAATGTGAAATTACTATACTTGTAAGCTTTTCTAGAAAACTACAGTGCTGTTGTTTCTTTGACTTTTTGAAAGATATTTAGGGCAAAAATGGTTCTGATCATACGATTGCTTTATTCTTTCTTGGAATAGCAAATGGTTACTGGTTCTGCGCTACACTAGCTAAGCATTGAAAGTAAACGCATTAATTTTTCTAATGTTGATAGAAAAAATCAACAAGATAAGGCAACGTTTACATAGCACAGCCCCGACACAAACCAACCTGAATGGTACCGAGCTAGACATATGCAAAATACACAAGGGCGGATAAAGGGGTACATGCCAATAAGTGACAAGTTATTGAGAAAAAATGAAACACAACAAAAATGGTGAACAACTTTCAGAGAAATGAAAACATTTATTTAGAAAAAAGGTTTATTCTTGTCCAGAAAACAAGTAAGTCGGGTACTGAAACATTTTAAACCAGTAAATAACCTAAAAGAATATTAAAATGGCGTATTATGTCACATTTGATAATATAATTGTCAGAGGGAGTTCTGCAGACAATGATGTAATTATTTCTCTATAATTCATTATGGTTTTCGTATCCTTTATGTTGAGCAATTTTCTGCATCAAGTTCTGTAAACAGTGTTCTACCGTTCCGGCTCTACTTTCATAGAAGACAGCTTCCGCTTCCTGTGTACATGGATGGGTGCACACTCCCATATACTTCCATTCAAAACCTTTGAACATGCCTTGATAACACCAGTTTATAACACAGCCATTGCCATGTGGTATCTGTAATTATTAAGATGATTTCATTTGGGCGGAAATCCTCGGACTTTAACTTGTGTAAGAAACGGCTTATAACAGGAATTTAACATAATAAAAACAGATAAGTAAAAGTGATAAGTATGGTGGCTGATTTGTGCCATTCTTGTGACCCCGCCAAGCGAAAAGCCGATAATTAACAGATTAAAGGACACTGGGGAGTCGGGCAAAGTTTAATAATTAAAACTTTGCCCCGCGGGGTGCAGAACGAGATTTTAGAAATTCAAATGACGGAGGCGCGGAACGAAAACACGCTTATTAGCGAAGGCGCGGGGCGAAGATTAATAATTTAAAATAAAACTTCGCCCTCGCCACGCGACCCCGCCACAAGCGAAAAGTTGAGATTAAACAAGTTAAACTGGCACGCTAATTAGCGGGGGCGCTAATCTTCCTGTGTTAATTAGCGTGTTTTCGCTCCGCGCCCCTTTATTTCTCAAATCTTGCTCTGCGTCCCTGCAGGTTTTATCAAATATACGTCGGCCCGTACCACTCGCTTATAAGCGTGTTTTTGCTCCGCGCCCCCGCCATTTGATCTTGCACATGTTGATTCTCGACTTTTCGGTTGTCGGGGTCGCGGGGCGAAAACACCAATGGCACAAATCAGCCACCATAGCTTAAATTTCTAACGTACAGAAATATTAAGACTTACCATAGATACATAGTTTATCAAATACTTGTTAGCGGTAATGTCACTTTACAAATATTTTATGTTTAAATACAAAGCAAACACTGCCCAAAATCCTTTTCCCATTTTAACCGTTTTTCATTTATTATATACATGTAATGCTTCTGCTTGTGTCATTACAAACTGTCAATATATGTTTATACATCATAAACCGATTACAGAAGAAGCTCGTATAGTGTTTTTCTATTCTAAAGTTCGCATAATAGTATAAACTCACCTGGCTACAATTTTGCGTCCCAAGCTTTCCAGCCAATTCTGTTGCAGTATCTAGTACTTTATTAAGTCCAGCTAAAGATGCGCCTTGGGATAAAATATAGAGAAAAAGAAATGCAAAAAGATCTTCTCTAAACATTAAACTAATTCATTCAAGCTGTTACTGGTCAGGTTTGAATCTTATGAATGCCATGGAATTAATTTGTTGTTGTTGTTGTAGTTAATCATTCACAATAGAATCAGTTAACTTTAGGGAAATTAAAACAATAAACTATCACTATGTAATATGTAAGCCCCTAGCTGCCATTTGCTTGCTTGATATTTGTTTGTAATAACGACGTTAATGGAAGAAAGATAGTACGTACCGGTTATTGTTAACACAAATATCACTGTAGATAATTTTCCGTATGCATTACCAGCTGTCACCTTCTTCACAAGACGTTCAGCTAACACGCCAATCATTTTATATTATATATTTTATAACATTATCCTCCCAAAGATTTTACGTTTTATCATAGTATTCTAAACCCGAAGTTACTATTTATATATAATAACACTAATGCACTATTGATCGAAACGTGCACTGGACCGTCAAATTTAAAGATCCTGTATGTTTTGTGATTAATATTGTTACTGTGTGTATACCACACTTGCAAAAAAATATATATGTATATAATTATGCAAATAAAACAATTTTCAAACATCGAAGAATATGTAAAATGTGTATTGCAAATATTTGTGCACATTACATTTAATCAATAAATTATATGCATTCATTTCTTATTGGAAAATTTGACTGACAATTTATAGAAAATGAATTTCTAATTACCTCCCTTTATTTACATGAAATGTTAAATTCGGTAATATCTTTATAAATAATGCTTATTGGAACTTACAATATTGACAAATCTTAATTTAAGCATCATATTTATGAAATAAAACCAGGAAAAAAATATGTTACAGGATCTTTAACATTACCTCGATCCGAGAATACATATCGGGTAGAAATTATTGGGATTCCATTAACTATAAATAGATAGTCGTGTTATTTTTGAAGCGTATGGATTCCAACAGTCATTGGATGGATAACAGTCACACAAGGGGAGATAATAAATCGCAGGTCTTGTTTTCTTCACAAAAAGTCATGATTGCGTGTTTGTTTGCTTGGGTTTTGGGTTTTCTGTTTGTTTTTCATTAATGTATATAATTAAAAAATTATCTGACCTTTATATTTTTATATTATCAACCGATTTTATAATTGAATACTAAAAATTACATAATGCTCCCAATACCTCATTTGGTATGACGGAGTAAGTTAAGAAATGACAAAACTTTTTTATCTTTCGTTTTTATTCGTATGCTATACTTGACAACAACTGTCCCTTTATTACAAATATGTCATTATTACAGCTATCTCTTGAATATATTTAGGTATCATAAAAACATATAATTAAGAACTTTACAGTCTCAATAGTTTCAGTATTTATCATGAAACTTATAAATTAATATAGACAAACTTATCATACAGATGAGTTGATATCAACATTTGTAGCTAAGAATGATTGAAAAAATAACTAAAAAAATCTTAGTTGATTTTTAAATCTATATCTGCTGATATTTGCCAAACTTTAAAATCAAGTAATGTAAAGGATATACAAACATACTAAAAGCATTTATATACTGATATGCATAATACAAAATATTATATGAATGTGATATAAAAGCAGTAGAACGATCTGTTCACATTTTAAAATATTTTCTGCAACAAATTACACTGTAATCAATGCATGCCGAGTAGGAAATAGATGGTAATTGAAGAACATATGCAAAGGTGAATATTTAAGATAATATTTCTGTTCTCTCTCTTTGTTGTTGTTGTTTTTCTGTGTGTGGGGATTTTGCTATCATCTTTTTATAAATCTCCATGTCTCGCAATTTTCCGCATTAGGTTTTGTAGGCAGTGTTCCACGGCCCCGCCTCTGCTTTGTTTGAAAACGGTTTCAGTTTCGTGTGTGCATGAGTCTGTACATACACCCATATATTTCCATTCTATTCCGGCAAGCATGCCTTGAAACGACCAGTTTATGACACAACCGTTTCCCCGTGGAATCTGCAATTATTTTAACAAAGCAATGAGATGACACAGTTTTGAAATAACCTACAAGTTATCCTTTTTATGTTTTGTACACTTGAACATACCATTCTAAGATCATTGAGTGACATATTCTTGAAAAAAGCAAAATAAGAAAAAAAGAAGGTATTATTTACTGCGATTTTTTACTTGCTTTTTAAGTCATGTGCATCATAAAGTGTGGATTAAGCCAATGTTTTCTTTCAGTATAAATAACATTAACACAATAACCAATTGTATCATAGCCTCCTACCTGTCCTGAATTTTTTGTCCCTAGCGAACCCGCAATGTTTGTCGCCATTGATAAAAAGTCCTCTAACCCTCCATGTACCATGCCTACAAAATTGACAAAAAAATCAGTTAATCCAAGTCTTTCTTATTCGTAAACTTCCAGTCTTTTTTCTTGTTCAAGAAGTTTATATCGTTAAAAAATAATTAATTGACCGAAAGTAAAATCCATGCGAAATCTGCCTTTTGGTTTCCCAAACAATTTAGCAACATATATGTACGGAGTTAGTTAATACAAGTTTATTTTATATATAGTTCGATTGTGTTGGAAGCTATACGGTTCTTGAAACGCTCTCCCTGGAACCAACCAGTACTAAGCAATGAATGTAAAGCTTTTTTCTCAAGGGAACAATGGCTTGTCCCTGACAGGGTTTGAACCCAAGCGGTCAGCAATCCTTAGATTTCTAGTTTCGACGCGTAAACCAACGGCCACGTCGCGTATGGAGTTAACTTAAAACGAAAAAGTTTAAGATGATAATTTGTCAAAAGTTTTAGAAAGTCATTTTTTAAATTTTAAAAATGAGTTTCAGTATAGGTTTTTCGGCATGATGAGACTGACAATTGAGGACAATTTGATGTAGATGCAAATGTTCATGTTATTCTGTCATCATATCTTTCATTTTGGTATTCTTGTTCTGCAAAATGGCCTATAGTGAAAAGCGCTGCAAAGCTTTATACTGCTATCCAAGTAAGAATCACAAAAAAAACAAAATCGATTTTCGATTTAATGCGGATTATTTTAGTATATTTCTTTATTATCTTTTGCAGAATTTTCCATTTAAGTGTTTCGCTTTTTGTTTGTAAGATTTTTATATTTTCAGTTCAGTGATTTTATCTCAGACTTCACAGTTGTTTTCGTTTTCAATACATGATCTGCTTGTTTTATGAAAACACTATATGTAAATCAAAAATAATAATAACTGTTTCGATGATATCTCATAAAACCTAACATATTTTATTTGCAAATAACTTAAAGACTGCTTTAAAAAGAAAATAAAAGGAAAGAAAATAATCTACTTTGGAAATAAAATTAAATGAATTAAGAAGAATAATTCATTGTTCTAAAGCACAAAAAAATTGCATGTTCAATATTTTATGAATTTGTTTCTTATTTAAACAAAACACTTAATACAAGTCCGTGTTTGTGTAATTGTTTGACGTTTAGTTTGTTTTATTTGTAGAAATTATAAAAAGTACAATGAAGGTCTGTTATAATTAAAACTCTACAGGCTTTAGGTAATCACAATATGAATAAATAGTTTCATTAAAAAAAAAGAAAGACCAACTTTACTTGTCCTGTCATAGGCAAAGCGACTTCCAATACGCAGTCTATTCGTTCTTATATTCAAATTAGACATAATTATTCAGTAAGAATTTTATGTTTCTAAAATTTCTGTGATTGAAATATTTTACTCAAGATGAGCACAGTATATCTTTTATCTATTTTAAGAATGAAAAATAATTGAATTTTAACATACATGTACATAACATAAAACAAAACTTACCAAAACCTAACAGTATCACTAATGCCGCAACAATTTGTTTAACCATATTTGCTGAGCTTTAAGGTACAGTACGCTCCCTACGCTTGCAGTCAGGCGGACTGGCGAATTATTTTGCTCAAGCCTTTTTTGAGACTTGAATACTCAATTACGCATGCGCAAGACCGACGAAATTAATGATAGTTTTAGGAAAATTTTACCATCTGCCATGTTTTAATATGACTGATGCAATAACCTTGAGAGTGTTGTTTGATTATATGAAGCAAAAGGGGCGCAAGATGTTTCAGAAAATGATTACTCATCTCATCGCTTAGTGAAGCGGGAAATTCATACTACTTGAATCATAATATATGCAAACTCTACATTTTGTAACTATAACAAATTGCTACGTCATGAAAAGATATAAAGACCATGCAGTACTTGCTATTAATATATAATGTTATTTTTTCACTGTTGTGATTTTTTCTCTAATATAAGACCTTCAAATATCTCAGCAGTGGGTTTCCAGGAGGTGGCCATGAAAAATGATCAACATAAGTTAGGGAACTATTTTACTAAGTTGAGCTTAAATAAATATGTTTATAATAAACTAAACTTAAATTTGCTTTTTTAACTAATCAAAACAGCATAATCAGTGTTTATATAGACCAAGTGCTTTAAGACATATTTCTTTGATTTTATCTTTTAGTTTTTATATCATTTAATAAAATTAGGAAAAGGGAAAGTGTTAACAAATAATTATTTAATTCTTCTCCTTTTTCTCCCTTTTCTTTTCATAATTATTATAATAAAAATTACTATTATCTTAAATGATATCATGACTGTTATTATTAATATTATTCAGAAACTAAAGTTTAGTAAAACATTTCAAAATTAAAGCGGATTTTATAGTACTTCAAAGATATAAGGAAGTAATGAAGTACATATTAACATATTAAAATGAGGACAACACACAGTTGTTTCGAAATACAATTGCACAATTTACCAGTTTATTATCGCTTCAATTACACGTTATCTATGCAAACATAATACATAAAGATTATTTTAAATAACACGATACATTTAGATGCAAGAACAAAAACAACATTAATCTTATATTCATATATAAACTATATGTACGTAAATAAACCTTTTTTATTACAATCATTTTAAACTGATATATCGCTACATGTATGCAAAATAAATAAATAACAAAGTAAAACTAGGTTAAAACATAATCTGCAATGAAATATCCTTGTTGTAAATTATCTCTCATTGAACCTCTCATGATCCGTGATAAGGTACTGATAACAACGTTTGAAAGATAATCAGTCAAAATACAGAACGTTATTCGACTCGCATAGTTTAGAACTATAGAACACGCAATATGGATAAGTTTGAAATATTACGGAACTTCGCTTTACCTTTTTATTCGTGTAATGATATCCAACTTTCAACAAGTGACGTTAATGATGTGAATATGAATGAAATGAATTTCAGACAATTTTCGGAGCAGTTATTATGTTTAGATGATAAAAGACTAAATCGGATTTTAGATGATATTGATTTAAAACACAAAGTAAATGAACATGATCCGAAAACAGAAGAGATCGTCACAGCGACAGAGGCTCTTGTTAATGGCATACTTCAAGCTGCTGGTGAAATTGACCCAAGGTTTCAGTCGAGATGTATTTATAGTGGTAGTTATTACGACGGTCTTAAAGTTGGAAGTGCTGACGAATTCGATTTTGTAGCACGTATTAATTCTCTATCGAAACCAGGCGTTCTTGAAGCAAAACGATCTGCAAGAAAGCGAGGATTTGTTTATCTGGTAGTAAAAGATGTATCACTCATAAACGAGTTCGAAGATTTCTTAACGTCGCCAGATGATGATCCATGCTTAGATGAGAACGATGTGATATTAAATGTTGATACATTTCAAGATCATTTTCAAGATTTGATATTTTCTGCTATAAATTCTATTGACATACCAGATAGCTTCATTCCAATCGAGAAGTTTGACGAAGATACCGAAACTCAACCATCCTGGCGACCTATTCGTAACGGACCTTGTGCAACACTACGACTTTCCTATATGTGTCAAACTACGCAGGATGTTGTTGATCTCGATATTGATATTGCACCAAGTATTGCATATCCGGAAATACATTATAAACCAATTGTCTTGGAAAAACTAGAAAGTCTGAAAGATAGAAACTCATTCCTGGACATACTTGAAAACATTTGTTTTTCCACAGAAGTCATGCTTGTTCCATTTCGCTTTGACTATACAGAGCCCTCAGGTAAATCATCTTGGCACTATCATTATAGCAACACTTGGAGAGTATCTCATTCTTCTATTGAAAAGGCCGTATTTTCTTTATTTGGGAAAGACAGCGTTGAAAAAAAGCTTTGTCGAATACTGAAAATTTTGAAGGAAATATACCTGCAAGGAACTGAAGAAGTTGAAGTACAAAGTGATTCACGACGTTTAAAACTACAAGAGCCGCCGAGTACAAAACTTAATTTCTGCACTATAGAACCAGTGACAAGCGTTTCAGAGGAATATTTATACTGTTCAGATACAGATTCTGATGAACAATCGGGAAGTTTCGATGGAGAAGGCAATTTCTCTTCTGAAGACAATTTAATGGTGCAGGAAAATGAAAACACTTGCGAATTCGAAGAATATGTACAGGATGAGAAATGTGATAATATTGAACCAAATACAATTATTAATCAAACCAGAAGTTTCAAAGAATCAAATAGCCTTAAATCAGTTTCCAAGTGACGAATGACCAAAAAGTGTTGAACGTTATCTAACAATCGCCAATCTGAGGATTCCTTTAAACAAATTCTACAAGCAATCTCGGTTGCAAGTTCCATTAAAGTCAACAGGATGGATAAAAGCAATTTAAGAACTATCAAAATCAGGTCTGAGGTGAGTCTAATATTGACCAAAGACTGGAGTGTCCAATTTAATTTCATATTGGAAAAACCCAGATATCAATGCGAAAGAGAAGAAAGTTAATCGTTTGGAGTTTTTAATTTCCATCAATCAAAGTTTAACATGAATGGAAATGGGGCTGTTAACCCAAAAAAATATAGGAACAATGGAAAAAATATGGGTTAGAGACCCATTGATTAGTTAAAAAAAATAAAAACATTGGGGCCCAAATTTAAAAAAGAACGGGGGTGAAAAACAAAAGGGTTCAGATCAATTGCAGCTAACGTGTGATGAAAATGATGAAATAATCTACGGTCAAAAATCAGTAAGTCATGCACAATTCTCAACACCAGATGTTGGAATAAGTCCATCAGAGAGCAAAATAGAGGAACAGTTAAGTAGTATTCCAACTCAGTCAGAGATAAGTAATGTTACTGAACCAGAAATGAGCAATATATCAAATTATGATTATAAAAGGAAGACACCATGTTCAAATGATGAAAAGAGTTTTGAAGATTTTGAATCGCTTGCATCATCATCAAATATATATAATGAATCTTTGAATCATGGCTATTTAGAATCAGACAAACCCTCTGGTATTTTATCTGATGCTTTTAAGTTTGAACAAAGACAAAGTAAAGATAACAAAGGACATGAAATATATTATAGAGATTCGAAGCCTCTTTTAAAAACATATATGATAAAAATGCTATTTTTGGCGATGAAAACTGCATATCCCGATCAAGAAAGCTGGGAACCAAATCAGCTTTCAGTTCTTTTAAAGATGGCACTGTGCATGATTTATTTTGCCCACAACTGCAAGGAAAAGGGGATTTTTAACTTCTGGTTCCAGGATTTAATTGAAAACCGGACAAGAAAATCTACATGCGCAGAAGTTTTATATTGCCTTGACCAAGTGGTCATGTATTTTTCCAAAATGATTCAAGATAACGGCAACTAGGTCACAGCAATGGAAAAGATGTTGAAATTCATAAACTGAAAGCACTCTTATAGACATGGATGACAATTTTTCATCAATATGGAAGTGCTAATGCAATCTAAATGAGTTGATTTTTTTTCTGTTGAATAATATAAATGCACCCATTTTTTACATATTTCATTTAGAATATTGTTCAATTAAAATTTTAAGATTCCTTTAAAATTCTAAATTAAGTTTTGCCAATCGAATATACGACAAAAAAAGAATCGAAAATCAAATGTTTATACATTTAAAAAATATTTTACATGTCAGTACCAATTCTACTTCAAATCATTTCAAAACTGAAAGTTATAATATCAATGAATTAAACAGGGGGGGGGGGGGGCTTTTTGCATTATGATCCCCAATAAATTCATTAAATAATGATGCCGATAGATAGTTTTAATCTTGATTACACACTATACATGTACCAATGGTATATAATTGCTGCCTAAAAAGCCAAAATCCGATAATCAATGATCTATCGTACGATGATAAAAATAGTTCATCCAAAAAATTCCAATCTGAAAATAAATCATACCCTCATTTTTTTGACGTGATTCCGTCTATCAGGTCTTTATCAGGTATATTCTTAATTCATTTTATTCGAAAATGTATATATGTATATATATGCATTCATATCCTTGATAAAACATGCATATCGCATTCAAGACAGTAAACGAAGTTTGGTTAAAAAAGAGATATATAAGATATACATGTATACAATTTATATGCATTTTCCTTGTTTAATTTGAAATTAGATATCATTTTATTCAAATATACTCTGTAATTATATATGCATAAACGTGTTGATCATAATTGTAATCATCCAGGTACGATAACAATAGACATAAACCTTTTTCTAAAAATTTGGTTTGAAAATATTTTAATTACTTCATTCTTTAATACATCATCGGTCGAACGAGTTTGAAAAAATAAATTAAATCAGTCATCAGTTTAGAGATCAAAATTTCGTAACTTCCTGCCAGATTTTATTATTTTGACAATTTTGAAAACAAACATATGATAATTTAGGGTTAAACAGACAGTATATTTGTATTTCAACGTTAATAACAAGACTTCATTTTATATTCGGAACATGGCGTCACAAAAACTAGGGGACATGCACTTAATGGATATATGTCATGCAGGAGTATGGACATCCTAATGAACACAGACAATTACGTCATCAATTTAAGAACGGATGTGGTTTATTAACATCTTAGATATCTTGAAATCTAAAGCGACATACAAATAAACATTTAAAACCCAATAATATAATAATTGTTATGATTTCAGACAGGTGTTAACTTTATAGATTACATTCTTTATCTTAATATGTTGACAATGACAATGACAATGACAATTTATTTATTGATATTGGCCACCGGCCCATTACAACAATATATACATTAAGATATAATTTCTTGACTGGTGTCAGTACAGATCGATGTAATTCCTAATAATGTTTATATTGAAACACACAGAACTATTGTTGAATAATTTACCAAAATGCGTGTCGTTCTTAACGAAAAACAAAACATAAGATCTTCACTTATGGCTATTCATTGCAAAATAAGAAAAACATACTATAGCCTTAACATTAAGGGCAATAGTGTTTTGATCAGTCTTGAACTTTGTACAACATTGCCCGAAATGAAAAGTAAATCCATTTATCACATCACTGTACAAACGTATTCAACACTGAAGTTTCAAAATTGAAAACAACAAACTAATCAATACCTAAAAGTAACATTCATGATATTATAAGCCTATTCTCAAATATTTTATAATAATAATTTCAAATTTAAGTATCTGTGTTATAACATACAAAATGATTCAGAGAATATGATCTCAACAATATAGTAAATATATCCTATTGATTTCTAACTGTCAGTATCTGTAATACTTAATATCTCATTTCTCTTTTTGAATGCATAATATGCATACATAGCTAAATTTGTTATAACATTATCAGATCGAGAGCACATTAGAACATTAAAGTTATGATTATTAGGATTGTCAAAGAATTTTTTGTTAATGTATTTTTCTCTAATCAAAGACAACTTTTTACAAACTAAAACAAAATGATATTCATTTCCAATTGCTTCGTGACATAATTTACATATCCTTTGTTCTCTTAAAATATTCTGGTATCTACCTTTTTCAATTTCTAAATCATGGGAGGACAACCGAAGTTTGGCAAGAGCATTTCTGAATTTTCTAATTGTCACTACTGTTAAGTAATATTCATGTTCGATATTGCATTTAAACTGTCTATACGCATACAATTTAGAACTATCATTTATAATTGTTTGCCATTCTTGTAGATATTGGTCCTTTAATTTTTGTACAAAGGAATTTATGAAATAGTCTTCATTATTGACTGTTTGATTATACCAAATGTAGCCAAAACCATTTTTACATAATACATTACGAATACCAGTACACCAATTAGTTTTCCCTGTACTATCATAAAACAACTGCATAAAATAGCATTTTTTAACTAATCTGTGCTCACCCATTTTGAGTATTTTACACCAATATCTTACAGCTCTTTTAGCAGAATTTATAAACATAGGAAATCTCCCACAGTCACCTAGGACACCTGCATTAATTGTTTTTTCTTTCACACATAAATACCTTTTACATGCATAGTTATGCACTAACTCTGGCTGTACTAACTTGTGTATACCCCATATTTCTGATCCATAAAGTAAAATAGGACTTATTTTTGTATCAAAAATATTAAAAAATACTTTTGGGGGTAACTGTCCGTAGTCATATAATTGCGAAAGTATAGAAATAAGTACTCTTTTTGCTTTAGACGCTTGTTCACTAGCCATTCTGTTTAAGGACAACTGTTGTGTTAATGTTACACCTACTTAACTAAAATTGCTTACAACTTCACAAATTTGATTATCATAAAACCATTTCTCGCCTTTCGCTAATTTCCCACCATTCTTAAAAACCATTACTTTTGATTTTACAGGATTAACTTTTACATTTTTTTCATCACAGAAATCTTTTACCAAATTTAATAACTTCTGAAGGCTAACAACAGTATCTGCAGCTAAGGCCAAATCATCTGCAAATAATAAAGATGATAACTCAGTTGTATCTGGGAACAGCTGGATACCTCTGGTTCCACTATTTTCAATTCGTTTAATTAATTCATCAATAAAAACTAAAAATAGAATTGGCGAAGCCATGCAACCTTGTTTTAGACCTATGGGACAGCTGAAATATTCAGTAAGCCCTTCATCAGTTCTAACACAAGCTTGCACCGACCGATACATACCAAATATTGCATTATATAATTTACCTTTTACACCGGCTTGTTTTAAAGCTTGCCAAATATTATGTCTATTTATCAAATCGAAACATTTCATGAAATCAATAAATGCTACATAAAGTTTATCACCTGGCTTTGATAACTGTTTGTCAATAACTGCTTGAAGTACATAAACATTATCAATTGTCGAGTAACCTTCTCGGATTCCAGCTTGGGGTTCACTAATTTTATTAAAGATATTAATATAAAATGTTAGTCTCCGTGTCAAAATACTAGTATAAATCTTGCTAAATATATTTAAAAGAGAAATACCTCTATAATTATCAGTGGAATTTATATTTCCCTTTTTATGTATAGTAACAATAATTGCCTTACTCCATGATTCCGGAAAATCACCAATATTGTATAATCTATTAAATATCTTATTAACAAAAGAAATCAATAAATCAATACCGTTAATAAAAAATTCTGGAATAATATCATCTTCACCCCCCGAAGTTCCTCTTTTAAGTTCTTTTACAGCCCTTAAGATTTCTTCGTCTGTAATTTCCGATATAAAAATTGAAAACTCTATATCATTATCTATATGCTCTGGTAAAATTGAATCAATCTCTTCAAAATTTTCATAGTTAATAACATTAAATAAAGATTCAAAATGATTTTTCCATTCGTTTAAAGTAATTGAGTTTGAACTACGTGCTTTCTTATTACACATACCTTTAAGTTTATGCCAGAATGATTTTGTACTATTTGACGAATCTATAAGCTCGTCTAATTGTTTATAGTAAAATTCTTTTTGTTTAAAATTACTCGTCTGTTTAAATGTGTCTTTAGCTGATAAATAATTACTCAAATTTTCTTCCGATCTATTTCTCCTAAACATACGAAGTCTGCTATTTTTTAAATACTTTAAAGATTTGCATTCTTTATCAAACCATTTTGGCTGTATGTTATGATTAATTTTTGACCTTTTTAAACAACAATTGCCGCTGTAATAAAGTACATCATTAAATTTAGATATTATTTCAGTTAATGATTTCGAATTATCTACTATTTCTACCATATATTGATTAATAAAATCTGGCGATAAAATCTCTGCCAATTTTTCACGAAAAGTAGTTATATTGGTTTCTGTAAAAATATACCTGTTTCTTTTGGTATGTTTATTAAAAACTTTATTTACTATAGCCCTGTCGATATTTTGACATTCAATTTCAAAACTTAATGGCAAATGCGATGACTCAGTTCTATGTTCAATATTAAAATCAGTTATGAATTCTAAAATTCTATCCGAAAATAACAAATAATCAATTACACTGCAACCTTGGTGACTAACAAATGTAAAATCCCCTTTGTTTTGATCTCTACATAACCTTCCATTTGCTATTCGTAACATATACGTTTAACATAATTCTAATAAATCTATACCAAATGTGTTAACTTTTTTATCACAAGAAATTCTTGGACCTAAAATGTTATCTTCAAAAATATCAGCATATGCATCTATATCAAAAGAATATTTACATGTATACAAACAGTCGCTTCTATCAGCTGTTCGTGCATTTAAATCTCCACAGATAATAAGTTCTGCATTGGCATCTTGCATCAAATTAATAATAATGTCTTCTAACATATCAATACCTTTCCGACTTCTCCCACTATAAAATTGGGAAGATATCGGAGGTAAATATATAAAGCCCATAATTATACTCTTTTCATATTTACAAACATTCTCATCTAATTTTAGGAACACACCAAAATCACAATAATGAAAGACTCGTGTCACATTCTTGCTAAATGATTTTCTAATAAAAACAACAATACCAGCCATTGCTCTTCCTGCTAATGCATGTTTTATACCTGATACAATATATAAATCATATTCTGGTAAAAAGGATTCAACATGTGATTGGTCAGTTAGTCAAGTTTCTAAAAATACAACTATATCGTATTGATGTAAAAAAGTTTTAAGTTCAGTATCAAATGTCTTATTACAAAAACCTTCTATATTCCAACATAAACAGTTCAAAGATATGTCATTGTATGAGCCTCGGCCATTATCCTATATATAAGAAACTTCATTTAAACTCTCTGTATCAGTCAACTCGTTGTTCTCAGTAGTCATATTAGTTTGAATGTTTCGCATAGATAGGTTCCCAATATCGACTCTGGTTTCAGTTACGTCCCTTCTTTTCCCTACTCTGAAGATACGATCACCATTTTCATTTTCAGATTGACTCGATTTTGTATTTTTGCCACTATTTTCAAACAATCTCAATTGACCTTTATAAAAATAACCCATTTTCCCCTCGCTTTTAAGTTTATTCAGTTTTTGCCTTTGCCTTCTCGTCAAGTCATCACTAATTCTGATCCCATTGTTCCGTAGTATATCTCTTCCTTTGAAAATTTTAAACTTATCATCATCAAATCTAAAAGTGACTAGCACCATGCGACAAATTCCTTCCGCTTTATTACCCTGTCTTGAAACAAATTTCAAATCATCAGGTATCCACGATTCATCAGGACTTGCAACATTAAGCACTTCTTTAATAACTTTTGATTTCAGACTACCAATAGATTCACTGTTGGTTTCGCTTAAACCAAAAATTCTTAAATTGCTCTTCTTTGCTTCGTGTTCAAGATAATCAATGTCATTACCAATTTCTTCAAACTCTTCCATTTTCCGATCAATTTTATCACTAAGGTATTCAACATCTAACTGTAGATTTTCTCTGGTTTCTCTCAAAAAATCGACTTCACCTTTTAATTTCGACACTTCTTTTTCATACTCACTGTGATACCGTTTAAGTTTAGATAATTCTTTTTTATTTTCGATACATTCAATTTTTGTTAAAGCTACATCAGATTTAATTGACAACATTTCTGACTTAACATCATGCAGCTCTCTCATTAAACGATGATCAAGTGCACTAATGGCTTCTAGTATTCTCGTCTCACTGTCATCAGAAACTGGACCAGGGTTTGATTCAATGTCACCAGAAATCAGTAATAGTTTTCTCTGTATACCTGGGAATAGTGGCCAAAATGTGAATGGACTGGAGTATGTGCCAAAATCAACTGGCCAAGGAAGAATATTTCCATATATAAGATTTTGAATTTTCTGTGAGTCCACAATAATTTGATCTTCTAGCAGTGGACAATTTTCATCCGTGTTGATATAACTATTAAATACCGATAGCACCAAATTTACACACCATAGACATGTAAGAATAACAGTTAAGGTTGCAAATATTCTGTAATGTTTATCAGAACTTGATGAAGTAGTGTATGGCCTATATCGCTCCTTTTTCAATACTTGCTTGTGACCAGGTTGATATAAACCAATACGTTCTCTATATGTAATTAAATCAACACCCATACTTGTATATATGTTAAAGCTGAGTACATGTTTGGAATTTCCATATCATGTCTTTGTAATGATAATTGATTAAGCATATGCGATTGGAAACATTTATATCATACCTGTAACTCAATTTTTTATGGTTTTATATCATAAATATGTTGCTCAAATGAGGATTTATCAATATTGTAAGTTCCAAAAGCATTATTTGTAAATATATTACCGAATTTATATCTCATTTAAATAGGGAGGCAATTAGAAACTTATTTTCTATAAAGTCTAAGTCAAATTTTCCAACATAAAATGAATGCATATATTTTAATAATTACATATATTATGTACAAATATTAGCAGTACATTTTTTACATATTCTTCGGTGTTCGAAAACTCTTTTAGAAGCATAATTATAAACATATATAAAATTTCACTTTAGTGTGGTAATAACATTAATTACAACATAGGCTCTTTAATCAATTTGGAAATATGTTTGAAATATTGAATATTTTTAGGGTTACAAAATAATACATTTTTATGGTGTATGATTACAGGTGGAGAACTCGTTCACATAGAGCATATCCTTAAATCCCTGAAACTAAGTAAACTAGATGATGCAAAGAAAAAAGACATTTCTAAGGCGAAAGGTAAAACATTTATATCTTTCCATGTGGCGCATAATTGTCTCTCGAATTCGCACATTAACACCCAATTGAAATAAGAATAATATATTCTTTTCCCTTACAGGAGAAAAGCGGCGTCAGAGATGTGCATGTTGTCAACAAAGACGCAGGGAAAAGGTATAATAAACATAACTAGGAAGCGCAATGCTCAATTAGATAGTTAAAATAGTCATTAAAATATCAGAAATCATAATGAGACACATTCATTTACATGCTATGCTGCCTTTTAATTGATGCCAATAGTCCATGGAGGCAGATAATTTACTAAAATATGTAGAATCAGTTCTATGAGTGGACTTGATCATAAGTTATAACTAGATCTGTTATTTACACAGTGCAATAGTCTCATCAAAGCTGACATTCACTTGACTGAAATACTAGTTGAATTGTAACACAAATCGATCGATTGCATTTGAGGATGTAACACTGTAACTTTCACTGATAGGATAAAAATCTTCTCGAACAGGATGACCTTTTTACACTGACTTTAATCATTTTCTTTATAAATTTAGAAATTACGACGAGAAAGCATCCGAACACCCGCCAATTTCTTACAGAGATTTATCCTTAAAGGTGACAACTTTTAATGCATTTGTCGTTTTATATGTATGCTTATGTTATCTTTACTCGTTTTTTATACAACAAAATCTTAGCAATTAATCTTAAAATTATTTACTTTTAAAATAGACATTAAATAATTGATCCATTTAAATGTTGTCTTTATATGCATGTAGTGTGTGTAGTGTGACGATTATTGAAGATTGCAGGCCAGTACTTATTAATCATGAAGGGAAAGATCACGATTTTCGTATATGTAGAAACTAACGGTTATGATTAATTCAATATTCCAATAAACGATATCCGGAATTCGGCAAAGTGGCTTTTTTCAGCTAATCTGTAGGTACAAACTAACTTTTACCGTTATAGCTTCACGGTGCACTATCCCTCACAAAATATAAGTCAACCTGTTTTAACTGTAAAAGTTTGTTTGTACCTACGTTATAACAAATATTCTAAATTCCGGAGTTAGTCTATTTAATAAATTTTACTGAAATAATGCACGGAAGGGCAGCTGAGGTCTTCCTGGATCGTCATATGACCTATACTGTGTTGTTGCGACGTAAAACGTACTAACAACAACAACTAACAAATATATGGTTACATTCTAACGAAAAGATGTCACATACATGTATCTTTACGTGTTGTTAACATATTTTTTTATAAAATGCTATATAAGAAAACAACTGTATTTATTGTAGGAAAATGTGACGGGCCTCATGTATGTTATAAGTGTGGCAGTGGAGATGATGTGTATGTGTCGATGTGCTGTTGTATAATCATGTGTAATGCATGTGTTGCTGGCGACGAATGTCCTAATTGTACAAAAATGGCTTCTGTCAACATGAATTAAAATGTTTCATTTCCTTGAAAAATAAAAGATTAAAGCAAATAAATGCGATACTTTGTTATATTTTTTATTATCTACTTCTGTCAAACTACTAAAAGTGATATTATGTTCAGGTTTTCCGTTGTCAAGTTGAGCTGAACTAGCTATATGTTTTAAAAGGTCGCCTACTATACCAATAATTGATAAAGACAATCGATTACGATCATAAAATATAAAAGCCACCTACATACATGTATTTAAAGTCTGCCCACTCATGTTTTACCAATAAATAAACATTTATATAGATAGTACCGTAGGTCACGAAAGTTATTGATTTTTAAACTACTATAACAAAATATAAAGTTAGTATGACTTATTGTGACTTTTTCCTGTACACTCCCCGTTTACTTTTGAATTGGAATTAGTGTCACTTACACTAGTTTAAAAAACATGGTACAACCGCCAATATTTCATATACCTCATGACATAACAACTGATGTTTACCTAAATTACTTTTCGAATATCATTGTTGTCACCTAATATAGTAATTTGTATCTAATAATTATAAAAGTAATTTTTAATACTTTACTTTGTTGAGTCTCGTACATACATTATGACACCGTTATAAGGTTTAAATTACTATATGAAATGTAAGAATATATATCAAAAGAAAGGTGTATATTTCATACAATAAAGTACATTGCCTTATATTTCTATTTTATAAATAGTTTGTACAACAAAATCAGTGCATTATAACTAAATGTAATTTTTATTATTACACAGTAATCGAATGTTAACCATTTGTACAGAAATGGTCTTCCATAACCGACATAAGTAATGACGTGATTATTTCCCTTTAGAGTACGCTTTACCTGTGACGTAGTAGAACAAATCTATGAATAGAATTTATAAATTACCGCTTAGTTAAACTAGTTTATAAGGTAGAATATCCTATCATTTTCTAACACGTTGCAAATATTGACCATGACTTGCACATATATATCGTCAAATTTTGTCACATTGTCATTCGCTGCGTTTTCCTATAAAATATATAAATCATAAACAAAAAGATAATGTTTTATAATAGGAGTCTATTCACTTAAATTAAAACATTTACAAAAGATTATGTTTTAAAAATAGTTAATTGATTGACATTAATTTAAATTAAAAACATTACTCCACATTAAAAAATCTAAAAATTGTTTCCGAATTAAAAATCATTAATTAAGCGGATTTAAAAAGTGTCACCAGATTCGAACCGAAAGAAGTTAATAAATTGTATAATAATATATAAATATGTCGACGGACTATCAAAAGCATGCAATTGTAACTGAAGGTAAGTGTATTCTACAAAATGATAAGAATAAAGTATTTATTTCGATAAATGATAGAGTTATAATATAATTCCTTTGTTTAAACTATTTGAACTTAAATGCGCTACTTTTTTGTTTAATTAATGTACTTTTTATATCATCAGTAAATATATTAAATAAGACGTCAAGTAGATATATATGCAGCAAGCGGGAAAATTTAAGTCTTGTTTCTTTTTTTTTTTTCTTTTTTTTATTTGGTTCAATTAAAATTATACAGTTCTGATGATCAACATGTCCCCGAGCGTCATGGAATTAAAAAAAAAGTTTAACACAATGATACTTCCATGTTTAAATATAGTATTCTTTTTATTTTTATAATTTTTTATTATTTACCAATAATATAACTTGCCAATGCGCCAGTCTATATCCTAAAGCAGTGGAATATCCTCTGCTATTAAAAGGGCCGAACAGTTTCGATTGAGGAAATTAGGGTATAATCAGCGCAATTCGTTTAATTACCGTAATGCATTTTCAATCGAGTATTGTATCGACGATATATAGAAATTATTTTAACCCCAATGGATTATTTTGGAGCGTCTTTTATGTGCATCATCAACATATACTTAAATCCAGTGTTATTACAGAACAAGGGGATAAGGAGGACGTTCCTTTGTCACACGGCAGGAATAAATCAAAACAGTTTACAAGGAGAATAGACATAGTGTCTTTTCAGAGCACACCACATATGGTTGTCACATCATCAGATAGGAGTATGGTCATTGGAAAGGTAAATTTATTTTTAATTTGCCATTTTTATTATCTTAAACTTGAACTTGTAAATTATGGTTACTAAGGTAAGTAATCTATCTTTGAGGCAAACCAATTACAAAGAGGAATATCTTTTATTATGATATTATATATTTTACACCCATTCAGTGGGTTCAAAGCTGTAAATCAATTTCTTTACTTTTAATGTTCTAACATATTTAAAGTATGTGTTTACAGGAATTTCCAACATTTTAAGGTATCGCTTACTCTTATTTATCAAAGTCAAGCTCTTCTGTTTTTAATTCCATTTATTATTACATAATTCTGTAGTTTTTTCTTCTTTTTGACAGCAACATGGACTAGATGTAGATTACCTACTGGACAGTATTCCCGCTCAAAGCTGCCTGACTATGGATTTCCCGAAGGAAAATGTGAAACTTGCCATCGACATTTACATTACAAGAAAAGGTAAGTAATATAAAAAAATCAGTGGTGAAAGTCCTTTCATAGATGATGGAAGATTAAGAGATATTTTTTTGATGAAAGGAAACATCAGATTATTGTGACATGACATTTGCCATACGTAAATAGGATAATGATAATTAAATTACATGTATCTTTAAACTTTATGATAGTCTCACCTCGAACAAAATATAGTGCAAAGCAAAAACATTTCAGTAGTAAAAGGTTTTTGTTTACCTCCTTTTGTCGATATCGTAGAAAATTTTGTTTTGTCTCAAACTTTATGTCAAAAATTGGCATATATGCAAAGAAACTGTATATTTTTGACAGGTATTTGAAGTCACAGTCTTTAAACTCCGCATTGCCGTATGCCTTGCTGTGTACGTCGAAAAACGTCGTCTGATGAATTTTGCGCAAGGGTTTGCGAAAAAATACCGGTACTTTCGTGTGCATATGTAAAGGACCAATGTGATCCTTTTCTACTGGGTAAATATAAGCATCCAAAATGCAGTAAAGCCTATATATCAACATATAAACGTGCCCTTTACCTGTATATGCGAAGCACACTTTTACATATTAGTCACTATTCAAAACCAATACTTAAATGATTAGCATAAGCTTAAATTTATCACCTTCCTTTTAAGGTAATGTTTATTTCAAGGCGAAAGATTTGTGTGAAATCTTGTTTGAAATTGAGGAAAATCCAGACAAATTTAGAACACGTTTAACAGCTATGAAAGAACTGAAAACAGATACAATTCAGTGCGAGGAAGAAGGAAATACGAGTAAGTTGCTGAGAAAAACGTAACTGTCCCTAACATTATGTCCATGATATTAATTTTGTAGAAATGTTTTATTATGAACAGAACAGCTGGTGCTGTAGGTTTAAACATTATGTTTATGTGATTTACATCAATATCAATACGAGGAAGGTAAGAGAGACTTGAATCTTGAGAAATGAACTTTCCATGATTGTATTATAAGTGCCTCGGTGAAGGAAGTGTTTCAGACTGTACATCCTCATAAGTACACATCAGAACACAATTTAGAAGCTGTAAATGTTTTATAACCAAAACAATTTCATTTCCAAAAGGAAAATAAATACTGTTTTAACATCGTTAATTTTTTCTTGATGTAAAATCTTTACAACATAATGTTGAATACACTAATAAGTAAATTAAAGATCATTCTTGTCAAATACGCTGTAAAATTTCCATAGCCTGATACTTTTATAAACGATTTGATTTCTTACTTGTTGTGTGTTGCAGATGTTGACGAAATATCACGGGAAGAACATTTCACATATGAACAGACCTTGACTTGCCCGATATGTATACAAGAAGAGGAAACTATGTTATTATACGCATATCAACATTTCATGTGTTGCCAGTACTGCAGTTTGGGTTTTTATGAAGAACATGGCTATTAGTTTTTTCCATATATTTGTGCATACCTACGTCGATAACTACAGGGGAACAATATGATTTATCCATGACTGAAGAGAAGGGTCCCAAATTTGTATAAAAACATTCCCATGTTCATATATTTTTATCTAAAAATGAGTCCGATTTTTATGACTGAAAAAACAAAAACATACTAGTTTTTCAAAAACGAACCCCAACATATATTTTTATCTAAAAAGAGTCCGATTTTTATTACTGAACAAAAGCATACTAGTTTTTCAAAAACGAATCCTATACTGTTGTAAGGTCGAAAAGTGTGTCCGAAAATTATAACTGAAATTAAAGTCCCATCTATATGCCTGAAAAAAAGTGTCCACTATTTACCGTTAGAAGTAAGTCCAAAAAATTATTTGGAAAAAAAGCAAGCCTCTGAGTCATGTTTGAAAGAGAGTCGCATATATGTTTGTATCCTTTGCCCATCTGTCAAATTACTAAATGTGTTGATATTATGTTATGAATTATTTATTCAAAGTGTGTTTTAATGTATACACATTCGTATTACATAAGACATGTTAGTATTTTTAAGCATGTTGCTCAAATGTTCAATATTTTGAAATCACTGCCTGATTTTTGTTGCAGTTTTATTATATTATGTCATTATTTACATTCTATTTTATTTTCCTGTATTCGACAGTACTAGATCCAGTGTTAACTGCTTTGGATACAGTCACAAAAACAATAGTGCTAAATTTTGATTCATTTTAGGACCAGTCATATCTGTTAAAGTATGAGTGACATAGAATGAATAAATGTGTATTTTACTTTCATAGCTAATGTATTTCTTGTGTATGTCTTCAACTTTCTTTTTAATTTCCCAGATATTAAAGAAGCGTGTCTCCTAACTTGTTTATTGTTATTATCTTTTTTCAATGAAAAAAAAACATTATGTGTAATAATATTGCCAAAAGTGCAATCTTAGTGATGAGCCCCTGTCTATGACACTTAATGTCCACGAAAAATTATTTATAAGTCGTCAACATAAATCTGTAAATCCGTTCAAAATGTAACAGAAGTGTGGTGAATAAAATGGGATATTGCGTCAAAATTCAGAAAAGCTCTCACCTGGATTAAGAAAATGTATACATAAAAATTATGAAATAAAAAGGAAACGAAGTTTCAACTCCACTTAAAAGTCAAATACTATTGGAAATAACATGAAGATACCATTGCAAATACCTTTTAAAGTTATTTTCTTGAATTTGTCATTAATGTATGCCTACAGGTTTCCTATTTCAGGCATGTAGTAACAAAAATCTGTGGGTCCATGATTAGATAATTGAGCCGCGTCATGACAAAACCAACATAGTGCGTTTTCGACCAGCTATCAGTCCAGTTTCTCTACTTGCAATAGAGTTGGTAAGCGAACAGCATGGGTCCTGATCAGACTGCGCGGATGCGCAGGCTGGTCTGGATCCATGCTGGTCGCAAATGCACTATGTTGGTTTTGTCATGACGCGGCTCAATTTAAGTCTTGCATTTGATTACAAGAACTCATCCAGATCCGATCTTGAATATAAAGAAACAGAAGAATGTGAAGCAAGGTTGTCCAACTTGTATAAAAGCCTCAAGAATCTTTGCGTGTCTCGAATTGATATTAACTTTTAAAAAAAGAAATAACTTAGTTTTAAGCACCCCATATTTAAGTAAGCTTTTATAGACAGGTTATAAATAAATGTAAAAGATTTATATCCCAAGTCTGTCTAAATGATAAAGTACGGTTTGACTGCAAAAAAAAATGTGTGTTATTTTTCTTCAATTCACTTTTTATTTCAGTCTGTATTTGACACAGGTTAAAATCGGAGAAAATAAAGATATTTTATTGATTATTCTAAACCACCGAGATATACCTTTTGTCCAAACGTGTATATGTCTTCTTAAGGTAAAAGGCTACTTACATATGCTTGCCTGATGGTGAGGATAAATAAATCAAACATGCATACAACCTGGGTACATAATTTCAAGCAATTTTGAATAATTGCTTTTAGTCTTATTAGGTAAAATACTACAGTGATCGTTTTCAGGGCAAATAGTTTGAAACATTTAATATGCTTTGACGTCACCGCTAAATGACGTTGTGACAATGTTCGGACTGCGCAGTAAACGCATAATTCTTATTTACTATGCATGTTCTGGCCATAATGTGTTAAATTGTTAAAATTTCGTTTCCTTGTAAAGAGTATATATCACGCATTAATTATAGTGTTTGTTATATGGAGTTTTGATAAATAGTATTGAATTTATGGCTCATTTCGCGTACTTCTGGATGCTCTGACATAAATAGCGTTTTTGTTGTTGTCCTGATTTTTCTTCTTTTTTTTTTCTTCTTTTTTTTCAGCCTTCTTATACAAAATTTCCATGTTAATATATTCAAACAGTTTTGATTACTACCGCTTACCGGATAAAACATAATATTGCGCATGACGATGAGGTTCTAAGTACAATTCAAACTAATGGCCTATCTTGTCCTACTATCTGAACAACAATTAACGATGAACAACGATTAACATTCTTTTTTTTTTCTTTATTGGCATAATTTATATTAACATGAAGACAAATTTAATTCGAAAGACAATGTAGTTTTAGCAAAACAAGTAATGTACATATGTACATATATCTTATTGCATCTAATTCATTTTGGCACTCGAGACAGCAAAGAATGTTTTAACATGTCCGTTGATTTGTTTTCTGCAGACAGGACATTTAACAAGAGCTGGTGCACATTGAGGGCAGCACACCATATGACCACAAGGCAGAAAGAGTACATCTGATTTCTTGTCAAGGCATATCTTGCACATACGATTTTCTTTAAGTCTTTGGTTCTCCTCCAGCAATGAGTCCAAGGGTTCTGAAAATATGTTTAACAAATATATTATAACTAGAATAGACATATAGACATGTTTAATAGTTTGTGTGTTTTTGAAGCAGTTAATTAAGTAACAATGTGTTACTATACTGACAATAGACAGTTAAGATAAGAAGACACCATGCCATTAAAACAAAGCAAAAGTTACCAATTTCTTCATTCGTAATACAATTATCGGTTTCATTCTTGTTGTCTTCTTTTTGATATTCAGCTGCTACAGACAAATTCGGATCGTCTTCGAGTGCAAAAAGTATTTCACACAAATCTTTGCCTTTGAAGTCATCTTTTCCTGTTGATGGATAAATGTTCAATTAAGTTACCCAAGTAATAGTTAACGGTATGTACAAAATCTCGGAGTGCATTTGAATTATCTTTACATCAAAAGTAATTATATATTTTGCTTCTCACAATCACTTGCTGTGATTGCTGCAAAACAACCACATTTTCAAATATGTAACTTAACGAATAATTTCCATATTTGCATAGTACAATTCTTTAACACTTTTGTGTATATAATATGTAATAGTACAAGGTCGTGTAGGTTAAAGTAACTACCATTAGTTTTCATGTATATCGCGATAGATTTTTCGACCATACTTTCTGTAAACCCCATTTGTAGACAGCTCTGAGCAGCATCACTATCCAAATAATTTGTTGATGTTAAAGATGATGTATTAGTCTGAAATAAAACACAGAAATATCAGATCTATATTACATTCCAGGTGACTTATATGATTTCTAATTAGTAACCCTTGTCAGTTTTATTGTACTTGCTTTTTAATACAGGAAACTCAAACAGTTGATTCTACATTATAAAAACATATTCATGACAAGCAATCTTGTGGAATTATTGGAATTATCTGTTGCTTAATTAGAAATAGAAGAAAATGTATAAAAATGACAGATTATAAGCATAAGTTAAGGTATGTTTTACACATTTCGAATTTAAAAAAATGTCCACGCAATTTAGATTTATTTTTATTTTTAATATAAAGTCGTCGTAATATTTTCTGAAAAGCTCTTACCTTATTAACTTGTCCGTCTTCATCCGTTTTCTCACCTCGTCTAAGTTTATCTATGTAATCTTTGCCTTTCACCAACAGAATGTGAGGACAGTTGGGATACCATTTAGCATGCTCCTCCATAGGTATATCTCCCTGCTCCCAATTTTTCAACCCACCACCGCAAAAATAACATCTTACACTGTCACCAACGCCTTTAGAAAAAATAGTTATAACATAGATTGTTCTTTCTGTCATTGTTTGAAATCTCTAGTATATTTATTTTATGCATGATGAATATATAAATGACAGTTCAAAAAATGTATGACGTCAGAAACATGAGTTTTCGTGTTAATTGATGAACACTGCTTAAGCCGGTGCTAGGGGGCGTGAACGGTAACTTGCACTTTCCATTACCGTCCATGAACAGGCTCAATCAAACCGGGCCTGCAACATTTTCAGTTTGTTTTTCTGTGCATTCCTTAGAGATTCTTTATTTCTCTCCAAATTACCTGTACGGAAGGGCGCATGAGGTCTTCATCCAACAGTTAAGCTGGAACATGGCCGTATGACCTATACAGTGCCGGTGTGACGTTAAATCCAATCAATCTAAAATACAAATTACCTGTGTATACCAATCCTGCCTCCACTAGATCTGTCTTCTTAACTGGAATATATTCTTCCCATGTCTCAAACGACTCTAAACGTTTAGATGATACTGCGTATTGTGGAAACTTTGGCTTTTCCACGTTGATGCCAAGTGCAGTGGGTGTTGGACGTGGTTTATTGTTAATGCCATTTGTTTCATTCTTAGACATAGTATATACATGTTAAACACATGCACGAAAGCTCTGAAAGGAAATGTACAAAGTAACAGTCATTTCGATTACTTCAACAATAACAAATGAATTACCTGAACTCGAACCCTTGACCTGGAATCTGACATCGGAATCAGCAAATCTACCAACGAAGCTACACATCGATAAATATCATACAAAATGTTATACAGTTTTAGCCGTGTGAATGAAGAGTATGTACATTTGTACAATATTAATATTACTCATATTTAAATTGACATAATACAACAAAGTTTTAGATAACATCATTTGAGATAAAAACAAAATCTTCAATAAATATACCCTTTTTTACAAGATCATGTACGAACGTTTTTAATAAAACATTATATATGCAATAATTGAAAACATAGTTTTGCTAAATAGTTCACAAAAGGAATTCTAAAAATTTCTTTTAAGTTATATACAAACTATAAAATAAATAGTTTTCTTCCTACTTATTCCAAAGATTGTAACCGTCTCATTTATTCTACAGATCGCAGTGTCATTAAATAGATTGTTCAGAAATATTCAACGCAATAAATGATTTCAACGGAATTGAAAATTCTGGTATTCTTCCTATAATTGCATAGGCAGAAAAGATAAACGCGGTAAACCATCCTTAAAATCAAATACCAAAGGGCTATTTACCATGAATAATAGTTACCTGGTGGGTGATACAAAGGTGAATAAGTATAAGTAAAAATAAAGCATTTATAATTATATCTAGTTTCAGAGTAATCATTTTACGTCGTAGGTTTAGCTATAATAATTATTTATAACATATACGTACATTACAACGGCATGTTGTATTTTTTGTAAAATCTTAAATAAATATTATTTACTGCTGTATTTCCATATCCTTAATCATTATTTTTTATTTTAATGAGTGGGCGAGTTGACGATTTAAAGCGCACATAAATGATTTAATATTATAATATATTCTTTTAATACTAACATTAAATGACATTTTACTTCTACATTTAGATATTTTTTATCTTTATCATTTAAAAAATGCGTCTCTTAAATAAAGCGTAAAGTAATAAGACTTTTAAAAAAGGATGTAAATTGTATTTAAATATACTCCAATCTTCCTGTTTATAAACACACAGTTGCGTTATGACTGTGTCACATGTAACTTAATTTTATTCTATCTACTTATATCTCTATAATGGTAACAATAAGAGTAACATAAGTAAAGATGCCATCATTCAATCATTTATAACTAATAATGAGTCATAAAAAAGAAAAAAATACAAGTCTCATATTATCTAAATGACTTTTAAGTTATTTAAAGTTTTACGTAGATGTAATTTTCCCGTGACTTGCTATTTTTAGAAAATTAGAAAATTACTAATTTTAGCAACTGACGTTTAAAAGCTATATATAGATAGACGCAATGCATAAATAAGAAAGATGTTGTATTTTACAAAATATAAACATTCGTCTTTTACTCAATGTAGACTAATTTGTATAAATACCATTTACCAAGCAGATGAATTAATATTATAGCGATACAGGTACTTTATTTGTTTTTAAGTCCACGCGTTCTATTTCGTTAGTCAATAAACAAGGTCACGTCAATTTACAATTTTTTCAAATGTATGGAAGACCGTTTATGTAAAAATTGAGATAGGTATACGTTTTGTTTTTGCTTGCTTTTAGGACAAAGTCTTAGTAGGTATTAATTAAACGTTTTTGAAAATCCAAATTTTAAACTTAGTATTTAAAACTTAATCATTATTTCTACATCTGATATGTTTACTAGTCCAAAATATTTTGATAACATGAATATCTGTAGATGAAATCAATATGAGTGAATGTACATTTTACATTATTTTTTGATTTTGTTGAAAAGAAGAAAATAATTTTCAATGGAAGAAGCCCTTGCCGTAAAAAGCTTTCTAAACAGCTCGGGTTTGGGCAGAGTGAGATCCGTTGACTTGATTAATAATTTTCTATGAATTGATATTAGGATATATTCTTGCATTGTTCGCCACACATGCAAAGAAATTAAACAATGGTCCCTGATAATTTAGTTGTGTCAGCAAATCTATAGACTATGTATTTCCTTACTTCTCACATCTTTCCCTAAAATGACAAATATTCAAGACACTGACAAAAGTGACAAAATATTTAAGACACTGACAAAAAGTGACAAAATATTTATGACACTGACAAATTGCTTGCATGATTTTAATACATATAAAACACCAGATGTCCTGTTCAGATTTATTTTAAGTAATCAGGGTAGCGTAAGAAACAGTAAGAATATCGTAAATTCTTTTGTTTGATTAACAAGTATTTGAGTTTATCTCACTGTATTAAGGAGATCCCTAGAATGATAATTTAGGACAAAATATAGTGAACTTTGTCAGTTTGACACACTGATATATCGAAATGTAAAATAACGTAACATCTTAATTACTAATTCTTTTAATTCATTTGTTATGATTCAGGTCCAGGTGGTAGAGTGCAATTCGGTGGCAAGAGAAAGAGGCTTGAAAACACCTGTTTTCGAAAATACGGATAACAGTTCACGTTATTTTGCTTTTAGACAAACAGACCGTTGACTTACAAATGCAGTGTAACCAAGACGTACCTAAACATCAAGAAATGGTAAGACGATTGTTTGTTACTGATGAGTCATGTGATATTTATGTGACATGCTTGGATATATCAACTTTGGGATCATAGTATTACTATGCAACGTATTTTATTATTCATGCTATTGCACATTGAAACTCCAAGCAATGCCTTTAGTAGGTAATTGGTTTACTTGCTTGATATTTATTACTATTATTCGGACAAATATTTTTACGTTTTATGACGAAGGTTTTACAAATGTTATTATATTTTTCAGACATTTAAGTATTGGCGATAACAAACCGATTAATTGGACAAAATGAGTGACGAATGACCTTGACCTTCGTTGCAATGTTTAAAGAACAATCTTAGTAATAGGTAGTAGCCTTATATTCCATGATCAATCATTTCCTTGACCTATTTTAAAACATGCTGATTAGATAAAAAAAATGAAAACAGTGCAAAAATGTTGAATATAATAATATTGTCAATGAAGTTTTTTTTTTATAAAATAAAGTTTAAAATATAAAAAACAGTCGTGGATAATGATATTGTCCCTGTTGAAATAACTATGATATACAGACATGCACCTATTTCATTTGACCATTTATTTCACAGCATCCAAAACTGCGTACGCGTCCGCGTTTTTATGCATTTGTTTCTACATATGGTGAGTTTTAAATAAAAGCATTACCGAGGAGTCCTCATTTCAACTTTCAATATCTTATATTTGTATCTAGAAATCCATTGTTATCCCCCAGTGTTTTTCATTCATTTTAAATGCACTGGAAAACATTCAGTTATCATTGAAAATATGTCATTACTTTTAACGCATGAACATCAAATACCCAATTACATGTGATAAACACGAACTATTAAGTTTAGCCTTATTTCAGCCAAGTAAAGGTATGATATAAATGATTTATTTTTTTAATATTATTTTCATTATGTATCGAAAGGTAACGCACAAAAACGGGAAAAAACCGTGAATTTTTTTTATAAGAGTCAATTATAAGAATTTGCTTCCCTTAAATTGGACGCATAGACTCGACGTCCGTCATATAACTCAATTCGATACTTTTTATTGTTCCTGACTAAATAACCTTTTTTAGATACCTGACAGGTACTATTACATAATTAAGTTTAAGTTATTGATGGCACAAACGAGTAAAGGGTATTAATTTCGCCGTTTAGAACCTGCAAAATAACAAAACTTGAGATGTTTATACACATATAAAACAATCATGCACATCATAAACATTCGCATATGAAGGATCTATGATAAATGATTTAGACTTATAGGAGCAAGTATGCTAAACTAAAATTACATAATATATATAAATCTAAAAACAAAAATAAAATAAAAGATCTTGATAATATTGCATGTGTTTCCTATTAGATTTTTTCAGTTCGAATTTAGACTTGTTTAGATTTTATCTTTCGCCTTGTATATATTTTTAATTTTGAATAGTTCAACTTTTTCCTAAAAAAGTGTTAACATATTCTGCAGCCTGATGAAAATTGGGACTTTATTACGTAATGGTGATAAAGTTATTGTTTTCTTATAGAATTGTATACCTTTCACTCATTGTCTAGAGTTGTTGTTTTACAGATTGTTGAAGAATCTGATCTTCCATCAGAAGTAAACCAACTTGAAAGTGTTGCTGCTCAAAGTTGTTTGGAAATGGATTTTACAACAGAAAATGTATCTAAAGCAATTGATACTTTCTATGAAAGAAATGGTAATTAATTGTAAAGCATATACATGTATCTTTATAGTCTAAAAATGCATACTCTAAACATTTATATGGGGCCTGTAATTGAAGTGGCGAATGGCCTTTCGTAGTTAAGTTGTGACGTGTTTTGATTTAATTTGATTTTATTTTACTATCTCATTAAATGTATGTGTTTATTTGTCGAGAGTGTGTTTATAAGCTTATAGCTTTCTGCACGATTGAACTCAAATCAGACATGTATAAACGAATGTTCCAATTATAAAAAACATCCTTTTGTTAAAGATCAATAAATGAAATGTTTGCATGAACCATAACTTATAAAATATACATTTATTTATTTATTCATTGGTGTATAAAGGTGACTATAACTTCAAAGCAAAAGATTTGTGTGAAATTTTGCTAGAAGAAGAACAACAACATGATAAGTGTGTACCAGACAAAGCGGAGATCACAACTATTTCCGTGCAACCGACCGATGGCCACGATATGGACCATGCAGGTATAATAATTGAAAGTCATTTGTTTTATTAATTTTATCAATTGTGAGTTAAAACGTGACAGTATTTATATCCATATAGAATAGTATGAATTCTATTAACTTTGAATGAAATCATGTCTGTATCTGTCTGTGTTAATATATATTACTTATTGAAAGTACCACTTATGCATTTTGGTTCCAGTTATATAAAAAGGTAAAGTACACGTATCGTAAAAAAGTGTTTTATTTAGCAAACAGATCGGGTGAAAATTATATTTTAAAAAACCTGCCATTACAAATCAACGTGTTCTTCAGGTGACGAGAGTTACGCGACGCTTGATAAAATGGATACCGTGTTCCAAGTTTTTAAATATTTCTCTAAAACAGGGACGTTTCTCTCTGTCGATATTCTTCAGAAATGATAAAGTATGAAAAAAGGGTGTTTGTTCGTTTTATCGTTAAACACCATTTGAACATAGAAATGCATTTGTTTTGGATATTTAAGTCTATTACACAGATATTTCTAAAAATAAAACACAGACACTACATAACTTACATGTACAAGCTATATAAAACTAACATTCATTATGACCTCAAACCTCTTATTATATATTTTCATTATAAATGTTGCTCATATTTTGCCTTAGAGATGATGTTTTTAAAAAAATATTTCGAAATGCCGTTTCATTTTTTCCTTAATTTTGAAAATATGTTTAATATACTAAGATAAGAAAGCCATTCTTCTCCAAAACATTTTTGTCATTAAAGATATATCATTTGCAATTTCAGATTTGAGCTACATCATGTTTGATGAATGTCAAATGTGTAAAATGTGCGATATAGATCATCTGACATTCATAGCATATCATCATTTATACAACTGTCATCAATACTCCCCTTGTCATATCATCTACATGATTATTCTGAAAGGATTTAGAAGAGTTTGGGAGTATTTTATACATTTGCTCATACTCCCACAGCGCATAATTATGCTTTTGGGACGTTTGTGTTGCATTTACATTTGACACCCTCGTACAGCATCAACGAGGGCAATGGTAATTTGTGTTTAACATGTGCTATATAAATATGTTTGAATGCACTCGTAAATTGGTTGGAGTGACTAGTGTATACGGAATGTTTCAAGTACATAAGTAAATGAACAGTATGCTTCGTGTCTAATACAAACAAGCATACGTTTTAATGAAGAATTTATATAATTAAAATTGGTGATTTAGATGTGTTTAATAGATATGTTTGAATGTACTACAGTGACTAGTGTATACATGCTTCAAGTAAATAAGTAAATGAACAGTATGCTCCGTGTTTAATACAAAAAGCATACCTTTGAAGTATAATAAAATATTAATGAATTATTAATATAATTGATAATTTGTTTTTGCTCTCAGCTCTCAGTCACATACATTTTATTGGTAAATGAGAATTTAATTCCCTTTAGGAGTAGAAATCTACAAAAGTAAAAATAGTAAAAGTGTCGGAAAGCAGACTCGAATAGAATGAGTCTGTTCATACAAGATAGTTAGAGGCGCAATGTCTCTCGCGCAACCTAGCACAGGCTTAAACAGTGTATTGTAATGTATGGTCTCAAAAATGATATTAAATAACACTGAGACGAGTAAATTGCAACTTTTGCAGCCGCCACACTGCAATATGTATCAGACTTATTAAACTACAAAATCAATGAACCATGGAAATTGTATTGTAAAATCTAATGATATCAAATTGTGTTTTTTGACTAGAAAGTATTGATACCTGCTGTAGGAAAAGATCCAGACATAAGTTTTATCACACGTGCTTTTTGTTTGTTTTTCTTTGCAATGCAATGATAAAAAAATGATAATCAAATGCTGCCAAACAAAGATATATAAAAATGGAAATGAAAATGAAATGAAATACCGTTGTACACATGTACTCTGATTTTCTTATTGTTCGCCACAAACTGTATGAATGTATTGTTTTAAAACATAAAGAAATGAAATAAGTATTTCATAAAATTCTATTTTCTGCAGCAGACAAATAGTTTAAAGCTAAGAAAATCTTTTTTTAATGAGTACATACATAGTCCGCAAACGTGACATTGCGAAATAAAAATACTGAAATGTTTTTCACATACATGTACTCTCTGAAATAAAAAAATGGACACGTTTTGTTATAAAAAAGGGTTTTCATAGATGGTAAGCTAAAATGTTTTACCCGAGTTTTTCATGTAAACAAGATGATTTTCTTCGTCTGATTGTATTGTCTAGATACGTTTGCTTTAGTTACCATTCTACAAGTCAGTCATGCCAAAATCAAAATTAATCTATGAACTATCATTTGAATAATCGTTGGCAACTGCTTCATTTTGATCAGAAGTATCAATGAACTTTTCAAAACGATCTCATTGTTTATATATACTTGTATCTCTAAAATCTCTCTTTCACTGATGCTTATTAAAAGGTTTTTCATGCTTCTAGTTATATATTTTTATCAAAAAGCTTCTGAAAGTGGAAGAAAATCAATCAATGACCGTATATACAAAATACATGCGTCAGAAAAAAATGAACACATCATATCGTTATATCATTTTAGGAACATGAAGGATAAAAGCCTACTGCTAAATGTGTTATAGACATCAACAATATTGATAAGCATATGTACATTTTCTTGGTTATAAACATCAACACACGAATTTATACATTTTAAATTCAGTTGCATTTATACGAACTACTTAGCAAAAGAAGTATTATTCTTAAGAAAATTGGATTTAGCTGTATGAGAATTGATCATTTACTGCTTGACAATATAATAATTGAGCCGCGCCATGACAAAACCAACATAACGGGTTTGCGACCAGCATGGATCAAGACCAGCTTGCGCATCCGCGCAGTCTGATCAGGATCCATGCTGTTCGCTATCAGTTTCTCTACTTGTTTTAGGGTTTGTAAACAACCAGCATGGATCCTGATCAGACTGCGCAAATGTGCAGACTGGTCTGGATCCATGCTGGTCGCAAACGCATTATGATGGTTTTGTCATGGCGCGGCTAATATGTAAAAGATGTTCATATGTTATTCACAAGCCGGCTGAATCGATTTCACCTATTTTAGAATGCTCTGAAGGTTTAGATTTATTAACTACGCACGAATTTTGTGAAGTTTTTTGTTTTCCGACCAAAAAGAAAACACACGACTTTTTAAATTTGTAACTGATATCCTGAGGATTAAACTTCAATTTTACTTTGCTGTAAATATTCAAAAAAAAAACCCGACACATGTTCGTGACATTCATTGGATGTATCCATTTAAATGGCATAGTTGGTTATTTCATGCTGGCAAAATATTTTGGTCAATTTATACTAGCATGAAATAGTGTTTGTGTCTCATGTTCAAGTCTATATGCTTAAATAGAGCTTCAAATTTAACCCAATTGCCTGAAAATGATGCCTTTTTGCGTACACGATACTTATAAATAAATACGGAATTAAAATTAATTTCAGGGAAAGGAAAGAAATTAGTCTTTATGTGAAAATGTGGAGTCAGTAATACACGACGTACAGGTCAAAATAGGAATAAAGGAGAGTTAGGGAGTATTTGATACATGTGTGCATACTCCCATAGCACATCATTATACTTTTGGGGCGTTTGTGTTGCATTTACTTGTGACACCTCGTACTTAATTAACGAGGGCAATGGTAATTGGTGTTAAAGATGTGTTTTATAGATATGTTTGAATTTTTACTTATATACTGGTATTGTTTTGAGTGCATTGTGTGTTACCTTCATATGTATATAATGTTGCAAGTACATAAGTAAATACATCTTATAAGTTGTGCTTAATGCAAAAGCATACCTATAAATTGAAGTATAGATTTTTTTACAGTACGATTTTTCCATAGCAACGTATGTTGCATTTCGCGCATGCGCATTCTGCGTAGGGCAAAAAGGCAATAATTATAGAATACATTTAAGCGTACTAAAAGGCTTTAAAATGCGTGATTTCAAGTTATGTCACCCATAAAAAAGATATTTTGGGATGAATTAAAGCGGCAAGTACTTAAAACGTGAATTGATATTTATAACGGATATACAAAATTAGCGGGACTTATAATTCAACGACCAAAATTCCTCTGTTCAAGGTATCATTGGATGGCTTTTTCATCAGTACTTTAAAGTTAAAACAGCAGGGTGTTAAATATCAAACTTTGTTACCCAAGTATTACATAATGTTACACAGTAGGTATTCCTTTGAGAATGGATTGGCAAGGCGGTAAGTGTCAAACAGATTGACACGTGACCGGATGTTATTTCTAATATCATTCAACCGGTTTGTTTTAGTACCACAACTGATGAAATGATCGCTAAACATGCAGTAATGTGTCGCAAAGGTAGCACAAATGCACACCAAGTAGTATTTTGACCTCCATAATAAAAACTGTACAATATAATTATATTAATTGTCAACAGAGGTTTAGTTGCAAAAGATATACCATGTATATGGCAAATGAGCAAAATGTTATCTCATTTAAGACGTTATATTTTTCCTAGTCGTATACCGATTACTTTGTAGGAGTCTACACTATCTAAATATTTATTATGCAATTATCCCAGTTTGTACCATTTTAGCACTTGCACTTTTGTATCACAACAATAGGATAAAATAATCACATATAATATTCGGGCTAGAAAGGGAAGTGCTGGATCAACGTTGACAAACAGTTAAATCATTTTTATTAATGCACCGGAGAATGTGTTCCAACGATACACATCCTGTTTTATAATCGTGCCACTATGACCACCTGGTAAAACCTCGACCCATATCTTCTGTCCGGCGGTCACTATTGCAACTGTATCAGCTGAAGAACATCCATATCTATCATCACCTCTGAACAATGACGTTGTATATATTGTTCCTTCAATCATTATACCAACAATTAAAGTCTGTTGGGCTAAAACACAGAAAGCTAAACTGAACATGTACAACCCATTGACTGGTGCTGTAAACTTTCCGGTACCAAGGTTATACGCATCTGCTTCGTTGAAGAGGACTGTTGGAAACACTATGATTTGACTGTTCTCAACTGACACAATCGCATTTAATCTTGCCTTAAATGCAACTGTATGTGTTACAGCATCTAAAAATAAAGAACGTTATGAATTTAAAAGCATGCGATATTATTTGTTTTATGCAAACAATTGAAAAACTAGATTTAACTCCTTGAAATGAAATTCCTACTGTATTACTCATAGAATTCTCATTTTTTTGTTCCGTGTGTTAATGTATGTTTCCCTGCATAAAATTCAATTATTGCTCTTCACTAGAATGGTTAATAATATTTCCGCCACAATGATTACTATAATTTCTACAAACTTTCAAAATCCCGTGACGCTTTTGCGACTACATAATAATAACAATTGCACGGCCGTGCATATGATGATGATGCGTCTTTTGCTTTTATCTCAATGGGCTCATATGTGTACTTGTGCACTTGCTGCGAGTTTAATGAAACACATTTTAATTATTCACTGAACACATAGCTTTTATTTATCTTAGACATATATAATGTATAATATCAAGATAAATGCTTGAACTATTGTTCGTGAAACAAGCGGAACAGATACGGATATTTTGTCGTCCTATATTTGATATTAATTATTTTACGCTGATCTGATTGACTTCTTTTAATACTTGTCAATGTTTTCTCTTTCGTTTAATCTCCTATACATATCTTATTACTATGATACAAGTACGAAAGATAAAATTTCTGTTAATGAATGATGAATGCAATGTTACCTGTATGACCTTTAAATTCATTGAGCTTTGTCTTAACTTCCGCTGTGACACCAGAGACTTCTTTCATACTGGCCTCTAAACTTGTTTCCAGCTCTTGTTGATTTGTTTTCATCTGATCACTCACTTCCATCTTAATACTTTCAACTTGTTTAACACATAGCTCAACTTCACTTTTCATATTCTCCATTTTAAATTCCATGCGCACCATTTTTTCTAGGACTTTTTCCTCAAAATCGTATTTAGAACAATGAGGTTCTTTACAATTCCTTCCACTTGTTAAAAGGAAAAGAAGAAACACCTTTTTACAAAGCGACATGTTTGATGTATAGGCTCTCATTACGAACTGCCTAGAACAAATGAACAGTACGGCTTCATGAAGTTATTCAATTTTTGCGAAAATACAATAGAAACTTGTGCCAACTAATTGTTATGCATTTGATTGATTTGTTTTCTTACTCTATAATGTTTTTTTTTTTCTTTTTTTTCCGTTTTTTTTCTTTTTCTTATCGCAAAAGATTTATAACCACAATGTTTTGCAGTAAGTTTTTGGAGGCGGCAAGAAAATTACTATAGATTCGCTGTATTTTCCACTGTTTTGTAGACATAAGTTTCATGAACATTAGATCTGTTTTGCAGATATAGTGCACACTGATACATTTTGAATAAAACACTTTTACTAGCAATGTTTTTATTAAATTAATTATTATTTTAAACACATGTACATCTAAGAAGTTAATCATATGAAAATTTATTCAGAGCTTTGGCGCTCATTT